AGCTGCAGCAGAGCTCACTTTAGCTCATAGCTGCAGCAGAGCTCACTTTAGCTCATAGCTGCAGCAGAGCTCACTTTAGCTCATAGCTGCAGCAGCTCACTTTAGCTCATAACTGCAGCAGAGCTCACTTTAGCTTTTAGCTATAGTTTTGATGGTTTTAACTTCTGCTCGTTTTAACTTTACCAACTTATTGTAAAACTAATTTCAGCGGTCATTCAGCGCCCACGCAGTGTTTTTACAGAAAACGTGATCTCTCTAAATGAAAACAAAATCAATTCTATCATAAGTTGTTGGTCTGCTGCCGAGGTCTTCTTCCACCCCGACAGGCAGGAAGTCAATTTTCAAACAGGAAGTGAGAGTCAGACCAGTTGCAGATGCAGTTTTCCAGGTCAGGGAGCAGAAACTGGCTGTGGAAGGAGTAGATGGAGGAAGTGTTGGAGAAGATATTTTTGATGACGTCGGCAGGAAACGAGCCTCGATCGGCCTCTTGTGTCAGACGAGAACAGAACACCTGAGGAGGAAGTTAGAGAGACAAATAAACGTCCCAACAAACAGAATAAAAGGGTTTTAAACGACATTAGAGGACCACTGCTGATAAAAGAATAAAAAGGAGCTTGTGGGCGGGGCTTAATATAAAGAAAGACCTCACAATTTCAAACATCGTCATGTTTACGTTAATTATGATTGATCCATAAATCTACAAGGTATTCTCAGATACTGTAATCTTACAAAATTAAGAGTTAAGGCCTACATTTTGGAAACAAAATGTTTACTAGGATTAAATTATAAATGAGAAAAATTGAGACGAGAGATTTAGTTTGGTTTTTGTATTAAATCAGATTTTTTTTTAATGCTTATTCTTGTAAATGTTAAACGTATATACACGCATATCCAAGGTTTTCAAGTAAAATTATGTTATTCACTGCAAAGTTATGAACGCTGACATATTTAAATAGTGCATGTTTGTAGTTTACAAGATGAGATGAGGATGTAAGTAAACCTGAATGTTTTTGATGGATAGGGATGGAGTTGCACTGAGAAGAACAGAGGGAGGCGTTTTTTGTTTCTTGTCCGAGGCAACGCAGAGTGACGGATCCTGGCGAGTGGAGGGAGAAATTTTATTCACAAGGTGCAGTGGTGGAGCCAGGGGGTGGCCAGTGGTGGCCTTGATCCCCTAGATTGGTCTGAGCAAAAAAGAGGAATTGGAAATATTCTCTGTGAATGATACGAGCGCGATCGCTTGAAACAAAATTGTGGTTCAGACTCGCAATTTAGTGTGTGGCTGCGTCGTGGAGTAAGAAAGAGTTCCTTCAAAAACTGTGTTGACAAATCGAAATCCAAGATGGCTGCCACCATATGCATGTAAACGTGAGCTGGATAACTTGAATAAGCAGCAACGTGCTAACTTCCTTTGTGGTCTGACTGCAGCTAGGTCTAAGGAAGGTTTCTTTGAAATATTGGGTTGCCAAGTCAAAATCCAAGATGGCCACCATTAGTAATTATATATGCATGCACACAATGGTGGGCACAGCTAATCAAACAGTTAGCTTCGCTACCTGCTAATTCGATAACTAAAAATTAGCTTCGCTAACGCTAAACCACTAAATATATATATTTTTTTAATTGGTGGAAGCTAACGCTAAAGAGCTAACTTTAAATCATCCGCTGCTGCCGACACTGTAAGACTGTAATGTGATAATATTGTAAGTGAACACGACTCAAAACGGTTCACAAATCACAAGCATCCGTTCAGAAGTGAGCCTTCAGAAATTAATCTGGTCCATCAGAACCGAAGAGGCGGAGCAGAACTCTGCTGTGCTGAAGCAGAGTGATGCATTCAAGGTGTGTCGGACATCTCTCTCGTGTCATTTAAATGGCGATCCTCTTTGTGGTTAACTACTTTTATAAACAAAGTGTGTCATCCATATTCTCTCTGTAATAAATCTGTATGTAATAAAGTAAAGATGTGAGAGAGTCATGTCCCAGAGGCAGTGTGCGCGTTGCAAAGCATGCTGGGTAGGAATAATGTGTGCAACGTTTCTGACGGTTTACGATGTTTCTGAGAGTGAAAATGCATTTTTCATGTTATTTTGCTGTTTTGGCTTGGTGTTTATGTTAAAGTCTATTTTAGGCTGTAACCTCACACCATGAGTCAGAGACTGTTTGTGGTAGATACGAGAGGGAAAAGCACTGCGAGGGGGGTGACATCACCGGGTGGTGCTTAGCTTTGCTTAGGTCTGCATATAATAAGCATAGTTCTGTGAAAATCACCACTGTACTTTCTGAGCTCCGTGCATGCGTGGGGTTTCTCCAGGTACTCCGGTTTCCTCCCACAGACCAAAAACATGCATGTTAGACTGATTGGTAACTCTAAATTGTCCCTAGGTGAGAGAGAGAGTGAATGGTTGTTTGTCTCCATGTGTCCCTGTGATGGACTGGAGACCTGTCCAGGGTGTCCCTCACACAGGGATGGCTGGACATGGACACCAGTGACCCCTGCGACTTGAAAAGGAAGAAGCGGGTAAAGTTGATGGATGGATTTTACCGTTATAAGAAGATAAATAAATTGGCGGACTTAAATTTACAAGATTTAAATTAAGCAGGAGTAAATGCAAATCCGCTAAACGTAGTTAGTTCTGCTATTAGTGGACACTAGCCACCCCATCATTTGAGGAAACTGCTTTTATGTTTTCCTACTGTTTAAAAAAGTGTTTTGTTTTTTGTTTTTTTATGATCGGGATGGTCGTGGTGGGTCCGAGGCCACCATTGGCCCCCCCTTAGCTCCTCCACTGCACCTGGTGTGTTCACTCACTCTGCGCTGCCTCAGACAAATAAAACTTCCTCTGTTCGCCTCCACAGTCTAACTCCCCCTCACTGGAGTACCTTAAACAGGTTGACTTACATTCCCAGTTCAGTTCCAGTCCAGAAAAACACTCTACTGGAAAACTACGAACACCGACTACTCAAACCCCTCCGTAACAGGACGTCAGCGTGCCGCTTGTTTACGCGCAAAAACAAAAACATTTCTATCGTAGTGGCAGAAAGTAGGTCAGCGCCGGTCAACGTTTGTCTCTCGGGTTCGTTAGACGTGCAGAGACGAGTGTTTTTGTTTACGTTGAGCGCAGACCCACGTTTCAGAATGTGGAAAAGTAAAAAGTTTCAAACGGCAGCGTTTGACGAGACGAACCGTTCTTACGTAACGAGCGCCTTCCATGTCAGAACTTTGTTTTATTTTTTTATTTTGCACTTCAGTGTTTTTGTGAAGGAGCCACACAGACCTGGTCCAGAAGGTGCAGACGAGCCACGTAGGCCCTCTCGGTCTGCAGGAGCTCGTTGGCTATCTTGAACAACTTCTGCTCCGTGCCTCCTTCTTTGGGCTCGCTTCCACCTCCTTGGCTCGTCTCCACCTCCTCCTCGTTTTCCTCCACTCGGGACGCCTCGGCGATCTTCTCCGGACTCGCTTTGGTCCACTCGCATCTGAACCTGGACCCAGGTCCTTTAGGCGTCACGCCTTCTTCTGGATCGGCGCGGTTCCTTTGTCCTGGGGAAAGTTCTGACCCGTTGCTCAAAGGAAGTCCGTCGTCGGGCCCAGACTCATCTGGCATCGTCACGATATCGTCCGGTTCGTCAGAGCCGGTGGACCGCAGCGGCTTCAGAGAACTTTGAACTTTTCCCACAGGAAGTCTGGGCAACAAGTCCAGATTCAGTGGAACTGCCCAGCGGTTCACAAAATATTTTGCTAACAGAAGATCCTACCTGCACTCGTCCACGGAGACGATCAGATTGGGCACGCTCAGAGACTTCTCCGCTCTCCTCTCCGGTTCTTCAATCGCCTCGCTCGGGACTCGTTGCGGCCCCAGCCAGGATCTGGAGGTCCTGGCCGGGCTGTAGCGGCCCGCTCTCTTCTGAACCGGGCTCGGGGTTCGCAGCTTGCCCATCAGAGGGTTGTGGTTTCTCGGGGACAGCTTGGCAGGACTGAGGCCTCCTCCTCTTAGGGGACTACGGACCTGGAAGCTCCTCCTGCCTGAAGTTGAAGGTCCTGAAAGCTTTGAAGCCCCATGAGCAGAACCGGCGGGGCTGAGGGCTCCCAGAGACGCTCGCCCACCTCGAACCAGACTCGGAGGACCACGGAGATTCTGCGCTACGTTGGCGCAGGAAGCGGAGCCGCCGAGGCTCCTGCTCGGACTCAGATCTTGGACCGTGCCGTTAACCTGCAGAGGTTTTCCTGAGGTGCGGCTGCTGGTTTGATCCGGGTCCGACTCCTGTGGACTCGCTGTTGGAGCCTCTATTAAAGAAAAAGGGAAAATGTCTTCAGGAGGACTCTCTGCAACCACCACACCACATTTTAGTCCAACCATAGAATTTATTTTTGCCAACTATGGCGGCCATCTTGAATCAGGTTGACTCTGTAGCTCTACATAAGATATTATGCTAACAGACGGATGTAATTAATGGTGAAGATTTAAAATGAGCGGTTAGCCCTTGCAGTACAAGTTAGGGATCACTCTCAGCTACTACCACGCTAAACTTTAGCTCGATAGCTAAAAAGCTGACCGAGTTACAACCATTTTTGCATTTGACAACTTTGCTTAGCTGTGGCGGCCATCTTGAATAAAGTCGACTCCATGATTTAATCAGCTGTAGATTCACGTCCAGTGATTATTTCCTGAACGTTTCATTAAAATACATCCAGCAGTTCATGAGATATTTTGCTAACAGACACAGGTAAAACTAATATTTACGCCTGTCTCTCGTTTCTCCACCTACCTGGTTTTACGGATGATTTCCTAGCCGGGCTCGTTTCGCCGTCGTCCTCTGCAGGTTTGGGGTTTGGTTTTGTTGCAGAAGCGTGGCTGCAGCTGCTCGCATCTAAAAACAAACGGGTCAGACTCATTCGTGCTGCAAACCCAAACGGGCGAGTGCTTCTCCACGAGTTGTAGATCTTAAACCGATTTAGTAACAGCGCTTTTCATGTCACGAGTTTTGTATTGAAATCATCTTCGGCTACGTTTAGTTGTAACCGTTTGGGTCAAACTTTTTAAGTAACCAAGATTAGCCCTCAGAGTAAGTGTTGTGGAAGACTCTCAGCTACTACCACAACAAATTTTAACTAAATATCTGCACAACTGACTGAGCTACAGCCATTTTTGTGTCTTATAGACTCAGCTGGCTGTGGCGGCCATTTTGAATTGCATCAACTTCAAAAATTAAACAGTTGTAGGAGAACATTAAATATTTGCTACTGGAAGTTTCATTAAAATCCATCCAGTGGTTCATGAGATATTTTGCTAACAGACAGATCTGAGCTGCAGCCACACCAGGTCAGCGTCTTTACAACTGACGATTGCGTATTTATTCAAACTCATCACGAGCAGATTCAAGCTGGTCGCCGCAGCTTACCAACATGTTCGAGCGCCGAACTGAGCTAAAATTAGACGACGAAACGATTAGCAGCTAAAATCTTGAGCCCAAACTTCAGCTGAAAACTCCTCCGGCCTCACGTTTTTAAATCTACCGTAAAACACCGGAGCTGAACGTCCGCAAACTCCAACCAAAAAAACTATTGCGTACTTTGAACATTTCTCAGATTTGCACAAGCGTGCGGCCGTCGGCGGGTTCGGCGAGTCTTTTCCTTCCTGCTTCACGTCCGATCGCTCGGTGATGCCGGTTCGTGTGACGGAGACGAGCCGAATCCTGATTTCTCAACGCGAAGCTTCTGCTTTTTCCCCCCACTTCTGCAAAGACGCCGACCTTCACCCGACTGGACCGGAGCACTCGCTGCGCCCGACATTAAAAATAAACCCCAAAGAGTCGGACCCAAATGACCCGATTCTTAAAACAAACGTAACGGTTCGGTCGTGTTTTGGTGGAAGACGAAAAAAAAAAAATCAAAGTGCCTCATTGAGGAGCAGCGGGAGTTTAAATCTAATCCAACAGAATAACGCAGGTCAAAATATAATCTATGTTTTATAAATTCCAAACGGACACTTTAGTCGTCTGCTTTTTAATAAAGATTCAGCTTTTATCATTTTCAACGTTTAAATTCTCTTTTAGCTACAACGGTACAGCGTCCTTCGCCCGTCCTTCTCCGAAATGGAGATTATCGTAAACTGGAAATAATCTGAACCGTTCCAACGTTTAAAGTGTAAACGCAAGAAAACCAGTTCTGGGATAAATGAACTTCTGGAAGTTGTGGAAAAGTTGCGTCGCCCTGAAGGATTCATGAAGAACGGGTGAAGCGAGTCCGATCGTTGGTCGAACGTGGAAGACTGGACCAGCTCTTTACCCTCACTATGGTCCTCGAGGGGTCATGGGAGTTTGCGCGTCTAGTCTACATGCGTTTTGTGGACGGTGTTCCTCAGGGTGCACTGTGGGGGGTGAATGGGAATGGGGGCCAGTTGCTTCGGGCCGTTTGGTCCCTGCGGTGTGAGAGTTTGGTTCTCACTGCCAGCAGTAAGTCGGACCCTTCAGGGTGGGAGTTGACTCCACCCGGGCGACCCGTTGTCACCGGGTCTGTTCAGAACTTTGATGGAGAGAATTGAACTCGGTGCAGCCAGGAGGCGGAGGGAGTCCATCTCTGCTCTTTGCAGACGACGTGGTCCTGTCGGCGTCATCGTGCCGTGATCTCCAGCTCTCACTGGAGCGGTTTCACAGCCGGGATGAGAACCAGCAACTCCAAATCTGAGGTCGTGGTCCTCACCTGGAAAAGGGTGGATTGCTCTCTTCGGGTTCTGCCTCAAGGGGAGGAGTTCCAAGTATCTCGGGGTTTTGTTCATGAGAACGGAGCGTGAGATTGGCAGAAGGGTTGGTGCAGCATCTGCAGTATTGCGGACTCTGTGCCGGTCCGTTGTGGTGAAGAGGGAGCAGAGCAGGCAGTGCTCTCCGTTTACTGGTGGGTCTACGTTCCTACCCTCACCTGTGGGAAGGATGCTCCATGGGCGCCTCCCTAGGGAGGTGCTTCATGCATGTCCAACTGGGAGGAGACCCTGGGGAAGACCCATGACACGCATGGACGAATGGACGGATGGATGGATGGACGGATGGATGGATGGACGGAGCTGAGCATTCTGAATGACCATAAACTGCACAATGTAAAAATAAACGACGTGGATGTGAGAAAAGCTCGTTTCCTAAAGTTAAGGTTAACGCAGGACAAGCAGCGCCGTCTAAAACAAGAGGTGCTCAAACTGATTTTAAAGATAAACAGACTTTAAAACTTTAATGTTAAACTCATTCAACTTTATATTTGTTGGATTTCTGAGCACAAATCAAAGTTTATCGTTACATTCTCTGTTCAGATCAGTTTTTTTGTTTGTTTTTAAGGTTCTGTGTTTGTGCTAATTGAACAAACGATGGATCAAACGTTCGGCTCATTCAGGACGTTCCTGCTGAGACTTCTGGTTTTCTTGTCATTTATTATTTTTGATATTCAGCTTCTTCACATCCGTTAAACATCCTGTGCCGTGTGAAACTTTTTACTGCTCATTTCAGCTTTTCTCAGATTGTGTAAATTTTAGCTTTTTTTAATTTCAGCTACTTTTTAGCCTTTTTCCTGTCTTTTTTTTATTTTTTTTATTCACCTGTTCTGGTTTCACGCTCCTTTCAGCATCTTTCTGTTGGTTTATTTTTTTTTTAGCTTTTTCAGTAACTGTTTTTGTTAATTTCACCTGTTTTCTGCTCATTTTAGTGGTTTTATTCTTGCAAATCCCATATTTTCTGTGCTCTATTCAGCCTCTGCTTATTTCAGCTTATTCTGCTCCATTCATCTTTTGCAGGTGCAAACCCCAGGTGTGCAACAGATGTGCAACATCAGCTCATTTAATGCACATTTTTGCACAAAAACGGAGTCACGAGCCTCAGTTCATCCTGTCTGTGCTGTTTCCCACAGTGGCCATCTTTGATTGGTTCCAGGTGAAGCAGGTGGATGAAGCTCACCTGGGACAGCAGCCTTGTCTCTCCGTTTGACCGCCACGCGCCTGAACTCCTCCACCTCGTGGCGGCTGCTCCTCAGAGTCAAACTGTTCTTCTTCTTCAGGTCAAACATCCTCTCTTCTTCGTTTTTGAAAGAATCCTCTGGTTTGTTGGATGAGACCCTCGCGCCTCTCTAAGCCAGGCTCTGCTCACCTGCTCAATCAGAGCCACCTGTTCATACAAGCCCCGCCCTTTAGCTTTAAATCGACTCCCCCCCCCCCCCCCCCCCACGGATCAGTTAAGACTCCCTCGTGACTTGTAGTCAAAGAGGAAAACATTTCCGGTGGATTCAAAGTGGAAAAGCCTCTAAATGTGTTTGTAAATCCTAAACAAGCGACTGTATTGACGGGCTTTGCTGCCCCCTGGTGGACGCGGGCTGTAAGCGCACCTGGAAACATTGAATCTCACGCGCTCTTTGGCACCTGCTGGAGGCGGGGAAAAAAGAACAGGTTGAAATGTTGAACAAAGATGAGAATTTTCATGAAGAAAAATTTGAATGTCAGAAGTGGGATTCGAACCCACGCCTCCAGGGGAGACTGCGACCTGAACGCAGCGCCTTAGACCGCTCGGCCATCCTGACTTCTGTTGACCCTCACTTGTCATATCTGTTAGCAAAATATCTCACCTCCTGCTGGACTGATTCTGATGTGGGTCTCAGACGGTGATCTCTGAATGTGCAGATACAGCTGTTCACCTGTTGGAGGCACTCTGAATCAAGATGGCCGCCACAGCTGGATGAGTTTGAAAAAGGCAATAATTGGGATAATTCCGTCAATTTTAAAGATACAGACTTAAGACTTGGTGTGGTAGTAGCTGAGACTGATCTCTAATGCAAAATCTGAGCACTAACACATTGCTCTGCGCTTTCATTTAAATTATTGCTTTTTCCTCTTTATAGTAATCTTTGCCCGTCTGTTAGCAAAATATCTCATCAACCTGAAGTCAAATTTTAACAAAACTTTTTTGGAATAATCTTTGGATGCACATCCACAACTGATTTGCTTTTGGAGCCAACTCAATTAAAGATGGCTGCCACAGCCAACTGAAACAAGGAAACATTAAAACAGCTGCAACTCTGTCAAATGAACAGGTGTTGAGCTAAAGTTTGTTGTGGTAGTAGCTGAGAGTCATACAAAACGCTGACTCTGAGCGCTGACGGATGATGCGAGATCATGTTTAACATTTGACCAAAATGTGTAAAATTCGATCATGAGCATGATTTATGTCTAAAACAGCTTAACATTTATTTAGCTACTGAAAAACATTTAAGAGTGGAAATATTTATTTACTGTTCTGGATAAAATGTTTGTTCTTTAAGTGGACTTTTTGTTAAATGTTTTTCTTTTTTTCTTACAGCATCAAGCTTTCTTTCTTCTGAAAAACCTCATCTTTGAGCTCTCTGCCTCCCTCTGGTGGAATATATATGTAACTGCACTTCCGGCTAGCTTTAAATTTTAATTATTTATTTAATTTTATTTTTTTTACTATCTTATCAACTTCTCGTACTTTTTAGGTTCAAGTCAGTGGAGCTGCACAAAGTTGGGGTTTCTCTTTGAAGGAAAAGGTTCTTGTCAGAAGTGGGATTCGAACCCACGCCTCCAGGGGAGACTGCGACCTGAACGCAGCGCCTTAGACCGCTCGGCCATCCTGACTTCTGATGACCGCTCACTCGTCATATCTGTTAGCAAAATATCTCACCTCCTGCTGGACTGATTCTGATGTGGGTCTCAGACGGTGATAACTGAATGTGCAGCTACAGATGTTCACCTGTTGGAGGCACTCTGATTCAAGATGGCCGCCACAGCTGGATGAGTTTGAAAAACACAATAATTGGGATAATTCCGTCAATTTTAAAGATACAGACTTAAGACTTGGTGTGGTAGTAGCTGAGACTGATCTCTAATGAAAAATCTGAGCACTAACACATTGCTCTACGCCTTCATTTAAAATGTTACTGTTTACTTCTTTATAGTCATCTTTGCCCGTCTGTTAGCAAAATATCTCATCAACCTGAAGTCAAATTTTAACAAAACTTTTTAGGAAATAATCTTTGGATGCACATCCACAACTGATTTGCTTTTGGAGCCAATTCAATTACAATAACATTTGACCAAAATGTATAAAAATCGATCATCAGCATGATTTACGTCTAAAACAGCTTAACATTTATTTATTTTATTTAGCTACTTAAAAAAACGTTTAAGAATGGAAATATTTATTTACTGTTCCGGATAAAATGTTTGTTCTTTAAGTGGCCTTTTTGTTAAATGTTTTTTTTTTTTACAGCTTCAAGATGGTATTTCTTCTGAGGAGCCTGATCTGAGGAGCTCTCTGCCGCCCTCTGGTGGACTCGTTCTGTAACTGCACATCCGGTGGATGGGTAATTTTTTTTTTTTTTTACTATCTTACCAACCTTTTCGTACTTCGTAGATTGAAGACAGTTGAGTGGCACAAAGTTGGGATTCCTGTTTGAGGAAAAGGTTATGTCAGAAGTGGGATTCGAACCCACGCCTCCAGGGGAGATTGCGACCTGAACGCAGCGCCTTAGACCGCTCGGCCATCCTGACTACAAATAAGTGTCAGTAGACCAACTATAAAGCTTTTATTGTGACACTGAAAGGATCGCGCGAGTGGAAAATTATTTATTTTGAATAATTTAATCATATTTCTATACATTTATATTAACATGACGTCATTTTATTACTTTAACCTTATGAGTTTTCAGTGTAAAATTCAGACAAAAGAGGCGATTAAACCATTTTCTCCCCCCCAAAAAAATAAAACAAAACAAAAAAAAAATATTAGGAGCAAAATTAAAGCAAAATGAATATATTAATTATAATATCATATGATATAATGATAATGAAATAAAAGATAATTAAATCGAATGTAACATGTTAGATTGTGATGTCATGCATAAAAACACAAAGTGCTGTTTATTACAATATTATTTAAAATACAGTAAAACGTCGGATCATGTTAGTTACAGTGCAGTATTTTATATTTATGTGTATTATGTAATGAGAAGTTTTTTTCCCATCAAGCCCCTGCGGGTGGTGGTGGTGGTGGGGGGGGGGGGGGGGTCCCGGGGGGGGGGGCTCAGACTGTCCGGTTCGGTCGGTGTGGCTGCAGCTCCGGCAGCTGCTGCTTCTCACTTCCGCCTTTTGTTTCTTTTCCTCCTTTATTGTTTGTTTATTTTTCCGCTGCGCGGCCCGGAAGCATGTCCGGCAGACCCGGGTTCTACCGGCAGGAGCTGAACAAGACGGTGTGGGAGGTTCCGGAGCGGTACCAGAACCTGACGCCGGTGGGCTCCGGGGCTTACGGCTCTGTGTGGTGAGTGTGCGTGCACGCGCAGGGGCGAGGCTGCGCACGAGCCGAGCTGACATGAACTGAGGATGATGAAGATGATGAGGAGAGGCGTCTTTAAAGGGACACTTTGCGGTTTACTGTCTCCACTTCCGGCGGGTTGGAGACAAACCGCACGCAGCTCTGCGGGGCTCGTGCTCCCGCATCACGCGCTAGAGCCTGGTGGGTGAAAGACAGCATCAGGACCGGAACCTCACCCAGCTCGACCCAAATCGGAATATAATTACTGGCTGTCTGCACCCACAGCTCAGCTTCATCATCATCTTCCTCCTCCTCTTCATCATCATCATCACCCCAGATTTATTTTCCTCACGTCTGCATCAATAGGATGCCGTTACCATGGCGACGAGTTAACCTGCACTCAAAGCTAATCATCAGCATCCGGTTACCGGAGAAACGTGCAAAGAAAATGTCTTTACATGTTTGTTGTTGTTTGTTTGTGCTCGTGGCAAAGGAACAAAATCAGACCGAGTAAAATAAAATAAATAAAAACCCGTACGGTGTTTTGATTCGCATCTACGAGTAAAGTGGTCGCGAACTCAGAATATAAGAGCAAACTACTTCCTGTTTAGAGAAACAGCCAAAGTGACTGAAAACAGCTTAAAGTTAACGACGTGCGACTTGAGGACCTGCGCAGTTTTACAGTTTTACAGCCTTTGTTTACGTTGAGCGCAGACCCGCGTTTTATAATTACATGTCTGGAAAACTACCGGAGTAAACTCCTTCAAACTGGATAAGCTGCTTTACGTTTAATTTAATATTTTTCTGAGGACGTTAAAGATCCATTGAAACTTCCTTTAACGTGGAGATAATTTGGACCAGCCGGTGCCCAACCCTGGTCCTTGAGGAACACCATGCAGCATGTTTCTCTGCTCTGACACCTGATTTTATTTACTGGTTATTACCAGGCTTCTGCAGAACATCAGGAAGTAATTAAATCACTGAATCACGTGTGTTGGAAAAGGGAAACACCTAAAACATGCAGGATGGTGTTCCTCAAGGACTAGGGTTGGGAACCACCGGTTTGGACATTTTAATTTGGGGTTAAATCAGCATCTTACCTGTTGCAGATAACACTTTGAATAATCTCAGTTTAGAGAAGCAGAGGGGTTGACAAGCTAGCAACCAGTCTGAGCATGGATAAGTGCACTTGCTAACTAGCTCAAAGCTAAAATTAAAAGAACACAAGCTTAAAGCTAAAAGGACCAAAATACTAGCTAAAAGCTATAAGCAAATATTATACAAATTACAAAAGTAGCAAAACACTGACTAAAATCTACAAGTAGTAAAGTGCTAGCTTAAATCTAATTCTAGCAAAGGTTAGAAGCTTAAAATAGCTAAAAACGATAGCTACAACTAGCAAAAAGCTAGCTCAAAGCAGCAAAAGGCTAGCTAAAAGCTAAAAATATCAAACGCTAGCCAAAAGCTAAAACAGTCAGAACACTAAAAGCCGAAGCCCTATTTAAAATCTAGAAATAGTAAAACGCCAGCTAAAAGCTACAAAATGTTATCTAAAAGCTACAAAACATTAGCTAAAAGCTAAAAAAGACAAAAGGCTAGTTTAAAAGCTAGGTTTTGAGTGTCTGAAGTAAAAAAAAATATATATATTGTGAGTTTCACTCTGAGGGTTGATTTAGACGTTGTTTGTGCTGCTCAGCCGCACCTACCTTCGCCTGCTCACTGAGCGCTTATGACCCGATCTCGTCTGTAAGGCCCGATTATCGTCTTTCGTTTTTAAAACACCGCTCAGAGTAGCCAAAGTTTCCTAGCATATTCCTCCACAGCTAATTAGCATTATCAAACACCAAAATGGCTGTAAATCAGCCAAACTGACAGATATCGAGCTAAAATTCGGTTTGGTAGTAGCTGAGAGTCATCTTCAACACATACATTGAGCGCCAACAGATCGCAGGAGATTTATTTATAAAACTCAAACGTGCAAGACGACGGGCAACATATTCCTTCAAGGAATGCTAGCTTCATTGCTTATTTATGCAACATAAATATTTATATTTCCTGCAAAAATGCAGTGTGAAAACTTATTGCTGAATAACTTGCTGAAAAACAGCTGAAATTAGCTAAAAATACAACATGCTGAAATGTAGCTGAAGTGGAAGAACAAGCCTAAATTAGCAGAAGGAAGCAGAACGAACACGTATTTGCTCGATTAGGTTCAAATAAGCGGAAAAATTTTGAAATTAGCTAAAAAAGCTGAAATTAGCAAAACATAGCTGAAAACTAGCTGAAAAGGCAGGAAGAAGCTTAAACTACCAGAAGAAAGTGGAAGGAGCTCAAAAAATGTGGAATTAGATGAAAAAGCTCAATTTAGCACAAAAACAGCTAAATAGTAGTTGAAATAGCAGAAGAAGCTAAAACTAGCAGAAAAAAGCTGAAAGAAGCTGAAATTAGCAGAAAAAGGGTAATTAAACTGAGAGTAGCAGAAATAACCACGAAAATCTTGAATACATCTGAAAACAGCTGAAATTAGCTTATAAATGCTAAAAAGGTAGCTGAAAAGGTAGAACATGCTTAAATTAGCAGAAGAAAGCAAAACGAACACATTTGCTCAGTTAAGCTGAAAGAAGCAGAAATGAGCACAACAAAGTGGAAATTATCTGAAAACAGCTAAAATTAGCAACAATACAAAAAAAGTTTAAAAGTAGTTAAAAAAGCAGAAAGAAGCTGGAAAATACAAGAAGGGGAGTTGAGAGAGCACATTTTTGCTGAATTAGGCCGAAAAAGTTTAAATTAATGCAAAAAAATGTGGAATTAGGCAAAAGCTTGAGCATAAAAACAGCTATATAGTAGCTGAAATAGTGAAACTTGCAGAAATAAACCGAAAGGGAAATAACAAGCTGAAAGTAGCAGAAAGACGATGGAAGAAGCACAAAAAATATGGAGTAAAATTAAAGCTGATATAAACTGAAGCAAATGTAACAGCTAACAAAAGAACAACACTTTGAATTTTTTTTTAAATAGTTGAAACAGATCAAAACGTGTTACCTTCTTCCATACGGATCGAACAAAACTTTATTATTAGACGCAAAATGTATCAAATTTAAAGATGAGCTTGCGCGACGTGTATAAAAATAGTTTTCCCCGATGAATTATTCAGCACTAGATATTTGTGACTTCATGCTGAAAACTGATACGTAAACAGGAAGTTAAAGTAAAAAAGAAACGCAGATCCTCACAGGATCATCCGGTGGCCGCTGTGAGCTAAACGCTTCGTGTTGTTAATTAGAATCAAAAGGAAAACACCAAATATCGCTGCTTGTGCGAGCTGTTAAAGCTCAGAGTACGTGTTGGAGGGCAGTCTCAGCTACCACCACACCAAATCTTAGCTCAGTATCTATAGAAGGGACCGAGCTACAGCGAATTTTGTGTTCGATGACGTTTAGCTGTGGCGGCCATTTTAAATTAGGTTGGCGCCAAAATTTAATCCGTTGTACATGCACATCCAGAAAGCTTTATCAAATCCATCCGTTGGTTCATGAGACATTTTGCTAACAGAATGCAAAATATATTCCAAAAATCTCGTGCAATCTTTTAGTGCTCAGAATATGTGTTGTGATTGACCCTCAGCTACTACCACACCAAATTTCATCTCAGTATCTGAAAGTTTAACTGTTTTATTATTTATTTATATATATATTTTTTGTGTTTGTTTGTTTAAGTAAAGCCTCGTCCTAATTTGTGGTTTAGCAGCCTGCCTGAAATATCTATACTGACGTCTTTGTTTCACTTCTTTTTCTGAACGTTTGCAGCGTTTCTCCATTCTCTCCTCGCTTCCTTCCCGTTTGTGCGTTCCACTTTCCGACGGCTGCGTTAGACTTCTCTTATTCGATGGCAGGCTTGAAAAGAAGCTCGGCTCTCGGTGTCTGGAGTGGCATTTACATTTCAAAGGAGCCGAGATGAGAAAAAAAACAAAACCGCCGGCTCTTTCACAATACGCGACACCCACGTTCCTTTTGTTCCTTCAACTCTCAAACAAGTTTTTTAAAATAGCTCGAGAACCAATTCGAATGAAAATCTCAGAACCCTGGCATCAGACGCTCCGTCCACAACTGTCAGGTTGTAGGCTAAGATCCAGGAACTCAAATAAAACTTAAGAAAAAAGAAAAAGGCTGACGTGGCAGCTCGAGGAGACTCGGAGGAGACCTGGACATGGCGTAAAGCACAACACAATGGCAGAATATAAAGGCTGAGGTGGAAGAGAAGGTGTCAGGGGAACTGTGGTCAAGGTCAAGGATGTTTATCACTAACTAATGTTAAATTAATGTTGAACCAGGTGTGTGAGGTCAGAGAGTTCTCTGCGAGAGGAACTGATTTGATACAGCTGGGAGGCCGAGGTCATCAGTGACAGTCTGTGAGGGCTGGTAAACATTATAAAAACAATCCTCGCACACTGTCCGGTGCAGATTTCGTGACCGGGGCTTCAATGAAACATCTGTGTAAGCCTGTGTGAACTGGCCCTTGCAAGTAAACTGGGTTAAAAAGATATTCTCCTGTCGTGTGTGGCTCTTTTTATGTTAGTAGATAATGAAAGGATGTTTTTATCCAACACTATGGTCCTTCGAGCCGGAGCCGAACCAACGACTTAAGCCTAGAGATGAGTGGGACAGAAGCTGCTGGCACCAAGGAGTGAACGGACAAATAAACACAAAATTAGACAATGAAAGCTCTGGATCCTGACAACAACTGGTCAACTTCTGGAGTCAGCCCAATTCAAGATGGCCTCCATAGCTAATAGACGTTAGCTCCCCAAAAAAACGTCTACAACTTTTAGATATTGTGCTACAATTTTGAGGGTTAGTAGCTGAGAGTTAACAGAAGTTGACCAAAGTGCTTAGCAATTTATTCAAATCAAAATAACAAGTACAAGATTTATTGTGTCGCCAAGGAAACACAAGAAAGTTCAAATTAAAATACAGTAACACGACATGAAAACCATCCAACTCTGCCTGGATCAAACATCAAGAAGACAAGCCGTACGATGCGGCCGATGTCCCCCGTCGCTGAGGGGTTTGAATAGTGAATGTTTGTTGGTTTTGAGATGAGTGTTTTTCTGGACTGTAATTAAACGGGAATGAAGTAAACAGTAGAAGAACAGAGGCAGGTTTTGTTGTTGTTTGTCTGAGGCGGCGCAGAGACCAATCCTGACGAGCGGAGGGAGCTGTTTTATTCACCACCAGACACAATGGCGGAGCCAAAGGGTGGCCAATGGTGGCCTTGACCCCCATAGATTATTTTTTGACCGTCTCAATTATTTAGGAAAGTACGCTTTTAAGCAATATAAAAACTAGAAAGCATAGTTTCCTCACAGGTGCCCAGTTTACATATATGTATGGTGGTGGCCATCTTGGATTTTGACGTGGAAACTTAATTTTCGACAGAGAACTTTCTTATGTCTAGATGCAGCCACACACCTAAATGGAAGCCAGTAGCTCATCTATTTTTCAAGTTATCAATCTCACGAGACAGATGGACAGACCAAGAAATGGACGGACAGTTCCAATTACCCTCTTAACGATGGGGGACAAAGAAAATGGGTCTTGAGCAAAGGTTTAAAAGTCTCAAGTCTTTGCTGTGTTTAAATGATCGGTTAAATGAGTCCACAATTTTGGAGCAGCAACTGCAAAAGCCTGATCACCTCCGAATTCCAGGTTGGACCTGGGGACGTCTAAGAGAAACTGGTTGGTTGACCGGAGTGCTCTTATGTTAGCATTAAACGGTGGAGACAACCGAAGATGGCTGCTCTTAGTATAAAACAGCTTTATTTTGGTGTGTTAAAAGTTGAGTCTTATGCACAAAACAGCTATTTACAATATGTTATACAGCTCAGTTTGGCTGTAACTCAGTCAATTGAAAGACCAATGCAGGTTCTGACATCTGGTGGTTTGATATTAACGGAGATTGTGCGCAACGTTACATTCAGCGTCCGACCAAAACAGGTACAACTCGGTTATTTCTCAGCACAGGACGAGCTCAGTTTAAAACTGTCTTTAAGGAGTTCGTGGCCTCTGATTTTTCTCTCGTTTCCTTGTCCAGTTCAGCTTACGACGTCGTCCTCAGGCAAAAGATTGCGGTGAAGAAGCTCTCCAGACCTTTTCAGTCTCTGATCCACAGTCGACGCTCGTACCGGGAACTCCGGCTCCTCAAGCACATGAAACACGAGAACGTTAGTATATAAAAAAGCAAGACAGCCATGCAGCTCTCCGCACGTTTCCGCTCTGTTATCGATCGGCTCTGCTTGTGTCTCGTCTCCGTCTCTGCAGGTGATCGGGCTGCTGGACGTCTTCACGCCTGCTGCATCGCTGGAAGACTTCAACGAACTGTAAATCTCATTTGGTGTTTGTTAATTGATCACTGGTGTTACGGGGGCATGCAGATGGACACCAGGTGGTGACTCGGGAGGGATGGAAGCCTTGCAGAGATGTCTGACGGTTGCCATGGCAGCTTGAACAGGTCTTTTATAACCGAACGCTTCTTCTCTTGGCTATTTTCTTTTGTTTCAGCTATCTGGTGACTAATTTGATGGGTGCAGACCTTAACAACATTGTGAAGTTTCAGAGGTTGTCGGATGAACACGTGCAGTTCTTAATCTACCAGCTTCTCCGTGGCCTCAAGGTAAATATAATCTACCGTGTTTAGATAACTTGAAAATAAAATATACTCTCAGATGTTTGTCAGGGACAAGTATAACGAACCGCAGGAAAGGAGCGTGCTCAGTACTGAACGAGTTTGGTTAAATTGGGCAAAGAAGCAAAAGCTGAGTTGTTAAAAGAAGCCGAACAGAAGCAGAGGCACGTCATAGCATTCTAATCTTGATCGAGATGAACATTTTTGTTTTATGAATGAATAAAATACCTTCAAGTATGCAAAAGTAGCTTGATTGCAAAACTGTACAAAAAAACTGAAAGGGGAAAACTGACTCAGCGTTCACACTAATGGTTTCTCAGGGAATCTGTCCTTGACTCAGCTGTACTCGGGTCAGCTCGGCTTCAAAGTCTTTCCGTTGGGTGATCCCACCGGATCAAACTAGACCAAATGGAAGTTTCTGGCAGCCAGGTTTTGACGATCCTTCCCACGTTGAGGCGGCACCCAAGTTATACCGTAAACCACCGTAGACCCGAGCAGAGTCAAAGCAAGTGGTGGTGAGACTTGACAATGGAAAAACTGCCTTTGTCTGAAAGTTGGTGACCCAGTCCAGCTGCTGTTAGGCCTCATCACGAAGCAAACAAAAGCCGTCTCGCTTTAGGCAGGAGCTAATGTGGTGAGCTGCTCTCTTGACCTCCGTCTCCTTTATGTCCTCTCCTCCCCTTGGCCTCCCACCCTACCCCATCGGATGGTGAACAGTACATCCATTCAGCAGGACTGATCCACAGAGTGAGTGCCAAGTTTCAGAAAATACTGGATGGTTTTAAACACACAAATAACACATATAGTTTTCTTGTTCAATTTTTGAGTTTTACAACTTGCAGGTTTGATTTTAAGACACAGTTCTTGTGCATTTTTTTTTCATGTCCATGTCTGTTTTAGGACCTAAAGCCCAGTAATGTGGCTGTGAATGAAGACTGTGAGCTGAGGGTACGCGTAATCTGCTATTTAACCTACAAGCCCCACTTTTCTTCCATCAGCTTGCAGAAAGAAATGATCTTTGTTCCCAACAGATTCTTGATTTTGGCTTAGCCAGACAGACAGATGATGAGATGACGGGATACGTGGCGACCCGCTGGTATCGAGCGCCAGAGATCATGCTGAACTGGATGCACTACAATCAGAATGGTGAGATAAAATACAATTACAGGGCTTTTTGTACGCAGCAAACTCACTGAGATGAACCAAATAAAGCTCATTGTTTCTGTTCCAGTTGATATCTGGTCAGTTGGTTGCATTATGGGAGAGCTGCTGAAGGGAAAAGTCCTTTTTCCCGGCAATGACTGTATCCTTTATCATCATAAAATTAGATTTACTCATCTTTGTGTTTCGAAACTCGTGATTTTTTTTTTAAACAAATAAAAAGCTTTTCAGTCTCAGCTTGTGTTGAGATCCTGTATGAGTCACACCGTGCAAGCTTATCCTTTGAGGGGCCTTAACTCTCCCTGCTCCAAGATATTGACCAGCTGAAGAGAATCATGGAGGTGGTTGGGACTCCGACACCAGACATGTTAAAAAAGATCTGCTCCGAACACGTGAGACAAAAAAGACGGGGTTGAGAATGTGAAAATGAACTCCTGTGCTAACACTAGTGATTGATTAGTCATTCTGTTGACATGGTTTTTGATTGAATAGTCAATACATGTGAGTGGTAAGGGGGATTGATTACTCAGACCTGCGATCTGAATGCTGGTCTGTATTGGTAGGCCCAGAAGTATATCCAGTCTCTGCCCTTCATGCCTCCGCAAGACCTGGAGAAAATCTTCAGAGGAGCAAACCCACTAGGTGAGAGACCCATCACAACTCAGATCAACACTCCTGTCTAACCTTTTATCTGTATTTGCACCACTGTTTTAAGATAGGTGGCTGTAAGAGATCTGCGTCACAACATCGCCTTTTTCTGAATCCTAGCCCACGTAGCGATTTCCAAAAACATACACACGATAATACCAAAAGTTGAATAACAGTGACCCGACAATACCAATCTCACAATCTCATGGTATGCTATGCTAATCATCTGCAGTTTCTTTATGTTGTGTACTTGTATCATTCTACCCTTTGCTTGCGTTTCTTTATCGCTTCGTTATAGCTGCACATTAGCAGTGTATTCCTTTGGGTTCTTGGTGTATATACCACATAAATACGATGTTCATAGTGTCATGTGGTTGCGGCTTCCTAGATATTGCATTTTGGAGTATGTGTGACGTTGAAAGAGTACAAACAATGTCTACATGGCATTTTCTAAGTACCTGTTGCGTTACTGACCTGATGTAAGACCAATATGTTCTACTTGTTCTTTACTCTGCAAACATGGACCTGGAAGAAGGTGATGTGTAAGTTGTTGTGGGTTTGATTTGGACTTGCAGAGAAAAGACAAACTGCCAGATAAGATATGTCAGAGTAGAGCAACAGAGAATACTAGCAAGAAGATTGTGGGTGAGACAATGGTTAGATGCTGACAAAAGGCTGTAGTTTGGAAATTATCACAAACCGTATTCATGGAAGAACTGCCTAACTCCACAGATGCACTGCAACAATGTCCAAACAAGACGCCACACCAACAAAAGCAAGATGGTTATGCCATGTCAACATAGCGTACTCTATGTTTGCGCTGTAGATGTGACTTTTCTAACAGGTACATACGGAATACATATAACGGGAATGTTTGTTGTGTAGATAACAAAACTTTACCTCCATCTTACTTTACTTTTTGACCCACATCAAAACTATTTCAAAGTATGCCAACAAAGATGGCAACGTATAGAACAGTGAGACAGTAGACTGCCCCAGAGAAACTTTGCTTAGAGTCACGTCTACCCAAAACCCATATGTTAGAGCCTTAGATATGACAAGGAAATGTAAGTAATATGGTTGTTTCTCACAGAAGTAATATTTCATCTCCAACTTAACAAAAAACCACACACAACAGTCTAAAGTTGTTCTCTTCAAACAGCAGATGTGAATGCAATTGGAGGTTTAGGCTCCTGCACTGAAACTCGTTTCCAGCTCTTCCATATCCAAGCCCTTATCGGCACCTTCTGTTTATTTCTGTCTCCCTGGTAGCGGTTGATCTCTTGAAGCGCATGCTGGTTCTGGACTGTGATGAAAGGATCTCGGCCAGCGAGGCTCTGTCCCACCCTTACTTCTCACAGTACCACGATCCAGATGACGAGCCAGAGGCGCCGCCTTACGACCAAACACTGGAAAGCAAAGACCGAACTCTAGAAGAATGGAAAGGTAAAGCTTGGTCATTGTTGTTGTTTTAGATTTGATCAGATTAAGATTTAAAACAGGTAAGAGCAGAGTCATATTTAATCTATGGTCTTTGTCGGTAAAATAAAATAACCAGGGTAGCATTACATAATAAAACCTGCTACATATCAGGAACTTAATGGGTAGAAATCAAGAATGTACAGAACCTGTATGGATCTGATAAGTACCGGTATGTACCCAGTTAGGCTCAGGTACATACAATGTTTGTACCTAGTAAGTACCAGGTACTTTTCCGGTACCTGCCCAGTAGGTACCATATGTCTGTTTTTCTTGTAGCCTCTTCTCTATAAACTTTTCTCAGGATTTTCTAAGAGGATTTCTCTCTCTTGTTGCACCTGTTTTTCCACAGAGTTGGTATTTGAAGAGGTAAAAAGCTTTAAAGCGCCCGGCAGCAAGACTGATAGCCTTCAGGTGGAGCAGTAAGCGTCTCTTAGCTCCACCTCGTCCTCCACCTGGAAAAGGACCAAATTTTTTTAACCGAGAATGGACTTCGGAAAAGCAAGTAAAAGGACGTGACTTGTGTTACTCAACACGGATCAAACTGAGGAGCAGGGGATGATGGTCTCTGTGGGATCAATATACAGGGAGCATTTTAGAATCCAAACTGGAGGACTTCTCCGGTGCAGAAAGTTGCTTCCCGTTTTTGCAAACAGAAAGTGAAGCGAGGAACCGTTCAGTGTCAAGGAGCGAAGAAGAGGCAAAGAGTCGTATAAGGAAGCAACTAACTGAACAGTGTTTACAAATCAATAGAAGGGTATTTAAAAAAGAAATAAAACCTCACTAGGATTCCCAAAGTAACAACAGGGATGTTGTTCATCCCCCATTAATACCATAAACAGTCAATACTTTCACGTAAGGAATCCATGTTTAAAGGCTGCCTGCATTCCACTGTTGCATGGTTAAGGAACATTTTAAAGTCATGGCGTATAACCGGTACTGTATTGTAATCACTAATATCCATATTGCATCATTAGTATTAAATCAGACTGAGGTTTGAAGAGAGCGTTAGCAACTTTTCGTCAGTTTTTCAACAGTTCTTTAAATTTCTGGACAAATCAAGCTACTGCTCTTCATTTCCTGCTTGTGTAATAGTAAACACAAACTGTGCTGATTATTAGGAAAGTACATTATACATTCCAAAAGCTTGAAATGGCAACTGTGCAGCAGTTGTGTGTTTACACACTTCTCATATATAATTTCTGTTGTTGTCGGATTTGGCAGCGCTCCTATACGTTTCCTCTTTTTCTTTCCCTTTTGCTGCTCATGTATGTGTTTACAATGACTAGGGAATATCTTTGACTGTTAGAAATGGTTCCCAAAGGGTTTTTAAACAATACATGATTAAAAACAATGTTATGCAATTTGTAGGTCTATCCAAGCAACAACTAGTCAAACGCCACAGGCTTTGGAGATCATGTCAGCGCTACTCAACCTATTTTTTGAATTCATTTGTTTTCTCAAAATAAAAATAAAAACAATAATAAACTAGCAAGACCGTAACAAGTGGGATTTAAACAAAAAGATAAGATATCCATGCTGCCAGTGTGTGACAAAGGTTTTAAGACTTAAGAACACTTTTAGCATTGCTAAAAATTATTTAAAAACAATTGTAGCTTGTTTTATTCCTTGACACTGTTCAAGTGTAAAGCTCCATATCTCTAGTAAGGGTGTTGGTCAATTCACCCTTCTTCTGCACCGTACTTTTGTAGCCATCTACCAAAACTGAGCATGAAATATGCTCAGAACAAGATAAAGTCAGTTAAAAAAAAGTCAAAACAGCTTCATTGTTGTGGTTTTGTGGGACATAAGTGATGCGCCATCTCTCTAGGAACAGTGCTGGTCAAGTCGACCTACGGCCAAATCTTCATACCTAAGCTACGCCACATTCTGAATTTTGAAAATTCCCTTCAGAAATACTGCTTGCATTTGGACAAGAGGCATATTTGCAACAGCAATTGTCTGTTTAAAAAAATACCTGGAGTAGTGACGTCATGACCTCAGTCACACAAAGCAGCCATGTTTGGCTGCAACTGTGAAACTCATTAGTTTATGTTGCTAATAATTTTCTTTAGGGTCCCAAATGCTTGACAAATATCAGGGTAGATGTTAATTGATGAAAGCATCATCAAAGCAGTGGAAATTTTTCTTTAATTGAAATTCTGTGTTTCATCAATGCTGTAGCTTGGTGCCCTATTATTACCCATAATCAGGTAACACAACTGCTATCCATATATAACATTTGTATAATGAGCATGAGCTGAGTACATATGCATATTTTCACAGCAAACGACTCACTTCCTTGCATATGTGTCATTCATATCACGTAGGCTATTGGGGTTTTAGTGATGCAAATCTTTGCTGAGGTACAGTTAATCCAGTTGGATTACTAACTACTACTGGAGATCATTCAAAACGTCAAAAATAGGAAGAACAAAATGGTAAATGTCACCCAGAGTGCATTCTGAAATAGCACAGTAGTAGGTTATCCTGTAATTTTACAGACAGAGCTCCAAATTAATCTAAATGTCACTAATCGTGCCATGGTATTTCTTACCTACAGTTTTAAAAGAGAAAAGTTACATTCCAGCAATTTCTGCCAAACATGTTCAATAAAGTGTTAGCTTGCGATTTGAAAATGCTAATATGGGTGTAATAAAGTGTTGGCTTAACATTCGCTAATGCTAACATATGTGTAATAACATGTTAGCTTGAGATTTACTAATGCTAACATGTGTAATAACATGTTAGCTTGAGATTTACTAATGCTAATATAAGTGTAATAACATGTTAGCTTTTAAGTGTAATAACATGTTAGCTTAACATTGGCTAATGCTAACATAGGTGTAGTAAAGAATTAGCTTGAGATTTGTTAATGCTTATTGAAATTTAACGTAGGTCATATAAACCGTTAGATTGAGATTTATTAACACTAACGGCAATTTGGGTTATAAAAAGTTAAGATTGAGATTTGCTAACACTAACCGGAATTTTTTTGTTTAAATTTGTGTGACCTTTCATTTTATGTAAAAGCTTTAACTTAACAGTTAACATTTTTATCACAAGCCAACAAGTTCAAGTTCAAGAATCTTTATTATCCCCGAGGGACAATTTGTCTCAGTCAGTAGGCACACAAAACATCCATAGTGTAGAAATTATGACTGTTTGATGAAAAGCCTGATTGTTACAGGGATGAATGAGTTTTTCAGTCTGTTCGTCCTATATCTGGGCTGCAGATACCTGCGTCCAGATGGAAGCAAACTGAACTCACCATGAAGTGGATGATCAGGATCTGCCAGAATCAGCCTGGCCTTGTTCACTGACCTTGCCTTGTGAAGGTCATTGAGGTTCTGTAGGGACAGACATGGGCTATAATTCATGACTGAGAGCTACAGATGTTTTAACAATTCATCTGGATTGTATTTAAACAAATGCTAGGAGGTAAAAGTATTTGTATAATTGTTCTAAGTTTATAAATTTGCCTAACTGACCCTATATTGTGACACAAATGTACCGCCCACATGTTACCTAAACTAGCTCTGAAGTTACCCTTGCTAGTGTCACAAAAGGCTGGTGCTGGTGAACCCATTGGTGCAGGCAGACAGGCAAGAATTCAGGATATATATATATTCTTGCCTAACTGACCCTATATTGTGACACAAATGTACCGC